TTAACACCTTGAAATTGGAAAATTTGTGCATTAGTCTTTAAAAACTAATGCCCTTTCTGAAACTCCACCTTCAGGAAGTCATCACAACATGCTTACACGATTAACCCTTTAACAACATTCTTAACCAGCGTTTCAAGTAAATGAGCTTAGCACAGTTACACTAGGTGTTTGCTAATTGCCACTGGCTAGTGTGAAGGAGCTGAGTGGGGGAAACTCCAGCTGACACATCATGTTGTCAACATGCTAACAAGCTAAGCGTACTATCCATAGCTACTCTCTGATGAAATTACACAGGCTGATTAAGTTGACTTCTCACACTAACGGAAAGCTCTGAATTTTATTCCGTGGAGTCAAGTTAAAGGTAACTTCTGATCACCATGTTTTCTAGATTTTTAATTAATAAAACCAGATGTTATTCCTCCTCAAATTCACAGGAATGACCTACTGTGTGCTGGTCTATCACACAAAATCTCAGTACAACATATTTGAGACTTTAGCTGCAATAAATGCTTGAAGAGCATGAATACTTTTGCGTGGCACTCCACAATGACAGTACGCCAAAGTTTAGATCAAGATATAGATCAGGAAACAAAATTATCAGCTTCATGGTCCAAGCTGACGGCTAAATCATGCAGAACGACCGGCTTAAAATGTGGCTGCTATTACATCCAGTTTGTGGATTTCAATTAGGTTGAAGATTTTGTCAAAAAGCTTGTTTGACTTCAAAAGATTTTTTCCCTTTCTTTTCTGCAACGAGTGGCGCCGAGGTCCACGAACCCTGTGGGTCTGTATGTGTTAGGGTAAGACGATCTCGGTTATGACTGAGCGGAAATGTTAGACAAGCATCTCAGTTTCCTGCGCCAGCTCCCAACCCCTCCGCATCCAGCCACATGTGAAACCGCACCAGAGCCTCTCAGCGACTCAAGCTAAACGCTCCAGTCACGCTGACATGTGTTTACACTGGATGCCGGCCCTGCATGTCAGACCCTCGCTCATAATACGCAGACTGATCCTATCTCGCCACGTAATTCTCCTTTATTGTGATCACAAGCTTGCGATGAACCTTTAAAGCGCAAGACGTTTCCCACAGTGGGCTGTGCGATAAAGCGGGGTGGGGTTGGGGGGGTTGTCCAAGGCAAACCCAGCTCTGTTTGATGTGTGGCGAAAGGAGGGGGGGTTAAGGGAGGGTGTTCCTCACACTGACTCATCTATAAGCTCGAGAGCTGTTCTTAGTCAGCAAATAACAAATCTGGAGAAGAAAAACTGTGTGGGCCCAAAAAAAAAAAAAAAAGAGTTGTTCTGTCACAAAAAAAAGCAAAAGTAATGCAAGGCAATTTATGTCCCTAGAATTTGTGAATTTTGCATTTATGCTGTTTTTGTTTGTTTTTGGCATACCATATAGACGCGTTGAATGTTGTTCACATCCAGAAATTGCGGCAATGCACACAACGCTTTGCCACAAAGCTTTGTGTGAACAACATGCAATGAGACAATTTAGTTTAAAAAATGTAACTGTACCAAAACATACAGAATTCCACGTCACATCTATCAGTTTGTCAAAGTCGAGCTAGCACCATTTGTGAATATATATATATATATATATATATATATATATATATATATATATATATATATTGTTATCTAGTTGTCGTAGAGTTGACAATCAGTAGCAAACCACAACGTACCTTTTCCTTTTATGTATCGAAATCTTAAATACTGTTAAGATTTCGAGCATAATATTGACAATTTCCCAGCTAACACCAATGGTAGAGATTGTCGTCCAGCAGTTTTCTGCCCTCCTCTTGGTTGCATGATGTCAAGTTGCAATGTTTCGATTGAAAACAAATTGTCTTGACAAAAAGGACTGCATAAGATGGATTAGCTATTGAATGATTGACTTTATTAAATCAAGACCGTTTTCAGTGTTAGTAGCCAGGCCACATTGATGTAAAAGCAACCTGTGTTTGTGTGACCTTCAGCCATTTGGATTATTTGTGTTAGTGCATGTGTGCAGGAATTTATTGTGTTTGTGGGTGTATGTGAGAGTTTGAGCAGGAGCCCACCTCTCTGGGACATGGCTGGAGCTCCCACACAATCAACACCACACTGAAGGGGGGCAGCCAACTTTCCCACCAGCCCAAACTAACTGTGATTTTAAGGCAATGAAATGATCCAAAGCATTGAGGAACATGTCAGAAGTTCCAGGAACGAATGCTTCCAGGAACACCTCAAAGGCCAGGACCATGCATAATGAGTCTGTCCAAAGAATCTGCTTTCAACCTTATCCCTGCTGTTAGAGTTAGTTGGACCCAACTAAGAGGCATAATGCATTGACTACAGCAGTAAAGACGTGATGTTTTGTCAAATGGCATTGTGGTGTAATGCAAATTCTGTCAAAGCCGTCTGTGCCTACAGTCAGGGAAGTCACAAAACTCTGAGCTGCCCAGCGTCTGCAGCTGAACCCGGAAGACCCCGATGGGGGTCACACAAGCTCTGTGGTGAAACGGACGGGCAAACGGACAGAGAATACCAAACCTTCATGCACGCTACTGAGTTATTGGCACGCTAAAGAGCTGAGTCTTACTCTAAGACACGGACAAAGAACAAGTTGTTCTTCCTGAATATGAGGTGCAACATTTGGAAAGACTATCCTAACCACTAACTTTAAGATTTTATTACAAAAATATTATATCTACTTTATTCCTGGTTTATTGAAGCAGATTAGATTATTTATGGTAAATTTATTTGACCGCTCAATAACGGAAAGTTTTAAGACTAGAACTGATCAAGAATTAACTCTTTAGTAGGGATGCTTTGATCAGGTATTTTGAAGCTGATTCAAATCATCGATCACTGCCAATCACTTGGATTGGCCGTTAACTTTTCACTTTAGGTATAACTGCTACGATGTGAACTGGCAAATTGGAAAAACGATCTGGCAATAAATTAACCTAACTGAGATGTAAAATATTTGCAAGCACAATACAGCAGCTCTTCAGTCAAAAGGACAACTGAAAAACCTTAAATCAGTGAAATAATATCTAACAGTAAGGTTCTCACATCATGAGTCAAATAAATCTACCGACATAAAAATAATGTCAACTAAAAAAGGCAACATTCATAAAAAAGTCAAATGTAAGTTGCATCAAAATAAAACAAACCTGAGTTACTAATCAAAACGTCCTGAGAGCATGGCTGGCTTTTTAATGCTGGTTCTGATTGGCTGCTTCTAACTGAATGCCAGGAGGAGATAGAGGAGATCAATTATTTTTCAGAATTTACCTGTTTTATGTTAGGTCATAGCGAAAGTTTTAATACATACGTAAAATCATTTATTCAGTTTCAGACATGCAACTGAAACTGCATGTACTGTTGGATTAAACACATTCCCACAATACAACTACATTATTCTATAGTTTTTCAAACAAATGGTTTTTATTCAATTTGTGTGAAAATCTGCATCCAAAAAACATCCAAACTAGGTGTGCACCGTTTGAAGGTTTCTGCCCGATCCTCAATTACCAATACGTTAAAAATCCTGACCTGCCGATTCCGATATTGGCCAATATCAATTTGTCTGAAATGTTGCTAAATATAGCAAGAAAGTGGACAAATTTCCAAAGGTGAGGTGGCTATTGTTAACTACATATATATAGAGATGATCTGGTAGGTCGGTCTGGTAGTCACACCTCTCTCAGTGCAGCAGAGGAAGATAGCAGTTAAATACTTTTGCGAGGTAGAAAAAAAAAGGAAAAAAAGAAAAGAAAATAAAGATGGGTTGATAACATTCACATGTAAAAATCAGCCAATCACTGATTTCCGAAAATTAGGGAAATCTGCACCGATAAATCGGCTGGGCGATAAATCGGTGCACCCCTAATCCAAACACCTTGCAATACCAATGCCTGACCAGCAGGTGGTGACGACATTGACTAAGATTTCAAAATTGCAAAGAAGAATTTTTATAGTTCAAGAGCTGAATCCCTGGAGGGCTACATCTGAAGGCTGATTACGTCACAGAGATGTCATTTGCATGGTTTTACCAGACTTTTTGTAAAAAATGTTTGACAATGTTGAATAAGCAACAAAAAAAAAGAAACCTCAGGATTTTGAACCCCATTTTTGCCAAGTTGTCTTTAGCACAGTCACAATTGCTCGGTGACAGGTGCTGGGATGAATCCAGGAAATAAATCTAAAGTCTTGACCTGCAAATTTCAAAACGTCCAGTCCTTCAAAGGCTGCAGACCCTGAATCTAGAGACAAATGCAGTCTTTAAAAACATCTGTCCTACCAATTCAAAAAATCTGTTTGCATATTAACAACACAGCAAAAAAAAAAAAAAAAAATAAAAAAGGAGCATGTTTATTTCATATCCATGTTAGTGTCAATACGACTATCATTGGCATGATACTTTATACACACTTTAGTGTTGAATGGATGGATCGCAAAAAACTTAGTGATGTTGGGACAGAAAAAAAATTATCTTATGCTATCAAAAGTAAAATTGCTATCTTCAAATAATGATATCGAATGGTTATTTTGAGCTGTTTTGCAAAAAAAAAAACAGAAAGTGTCCTCCCAGCAGTATTGACAGGCACTAATCAAGCTCAAGGTTCAGCTCTGCTCTGTCTGCGCAGCAGCATTACAGCAGGGAACCCCGGCTGCATGACGTCTACCAGCGCTGCACAGCTGCAGAGTTTAGCCTCCGGCCTGCTAAGCATTAGCTGAACACCTCTTATAGCACAGCCGAGGAACAACTTCTCCACACATTTGTCATTGCATATGCGTTTTGGCGCAACGGCAACCACGTTATGCGACTTGCTGCGGGTTTCAGGCGGTGTTCGTGCTCAAAATACGACGCAAACACAGAGAATCTTCCTGAAGGCTTCCTAAAGGCTGCCGTCAAAACCCTCTAGCCGAGCAGAGTTTGGCTTGATTTCTCTGGTCTAAACGCCGCCGAGAGGGGTGGAAACGCGGTAATGACTTTGAATGTATCTCACCCAGATCCCCAGTTGCCGAGAGGGAGCGTCTTCAAAGCGCAGAGCGGCTCATTTTCCATGAAAAATTAGAAAACCCTTCGATCCTCATAACTGTTTCTCTCCAGCCATCTTGAGCCAAACCGTCAACTTGATGGAGCGGGTGACAGTCAGGCGAAGGTTTTCCTGTGTTCCCCATTACAACACCTTAATCATATTATAACGATGATAATAAGTCAGTTATATTATTAATACAATTTCTTTAGCCATGTCACGGGTTTCGAAACGCTAAAACAAAACACTGCATTCGTTGTATCAAGCCGGCGCCCCCCGGCCTGGCAGGAATGGTACGGTCCGTGACATTCCGCAGACCCACACTGCTGTGTTCAGTGTAAGCAGCCAATCAGGAGCCCTGGAGTAATCTGTAAGAGCAAAACACAGCTGGAGCTGGGAACCAGCTGAGACACAACACGCAGAGTGACAGGAAAGAGTTACTTTAGGACGACGTTTCAGTGTCGGTTCGGCAGACCTGTTCTCTCCCATTCGAACAGTACGCAGGACGTCCTACTTGGACACGTTACCGAAACAGCCGACTAAGGTTCGTGAAGGGGTGTTCTGTTTTAATAGGTGTTAAATAGAAAGTGTAGTTTATGAAAGGATGTGTTTTTTGTGTTATCAAATATTTATATTTGACACCATCAAATATACTCAAATATAATCAATTCTAACAACCAAAATATAATACCTCCCCACTTCCAGAAAAAAAAAATAAATAAAATTTGAGTGTACATTTCTTGTTCTCATAACTCATGCAATCAAGTAATGTGTAGTGTATTGTGTAGTTAATACACAATGTAGTACCCAAAATGTTAGTCCTTGTAGTCGTGAGTATGTCGAAATGACATGCACGTCCATATTTACAGAGAATATGCCATTCTGATGGGAACGGTGAACCATCAATGCACCTGCAATCCGTGGCAGTTACTGATATGGATGACTTGGGCAACCATGGCAGCATCCTGCGACGCCACCTCCCTCTTCCCCAAATCGTAAAAGGTGAAGATAAAGGGGCATTCCACTCAGGTCCACCTGGGACAGTCTTGGCCAAAAGCTGATTGGGACATGAATGTTGCAGTTTTTTTGTTTTTTTTTAAATCAAGAATATTAATTTCCACTGAATAGTATGCCCCAAGTCGATGCGTATCGGTGTGCTAGTTTAGTCTGATTCCATTGTAAAAGCAGCCCAACATTCCTAGGCCCCCTTTCGTTGTAGGTTCATGAAATAAAGGTACAGTGATGCTGTACCATTGACCAGCGCAAGTCGAGTGTTATTCTTTCTAAGCAGAAGCATTTGTAGCATAAATCTAAAGGATAAAGAGTTTTCTTTTGCTTTAATAGTCACATATGGTCAACAGTTCACAATGATGGAGGGCTAGCTCAATAGAGTTACACTCTAGAGCACCAATAATATTACCATTTCATCCCAGCCTAGCTAACCTATTTGTTTATGTTTAGGTGTGAACACCTGAACACAGACATAAAGAATGAATAGGAGTTAGAATCTTAGTTTTCACCTGCAGGGAGAGCGCAGCTGAAACTCGGTTACAGATTCTCTGCCTTTGCTCTGAGCTTCAACTGGGCCCCCTACCTGCCTGTATTAAAATTAGGAACGCCCTGGTCACATGACGGGTTTGCAGTCCTAAAGGGGAGGAGAGCAAAGCACAGCTGCACAGTCAAATGCACAGAACTTAACTATACGACCTTCATAAGATATTTCATAAGATAAGAATATCAGTTTGCAGTTCCTCTGGATAATGAGATCTGGAACTTCCCATTCATGATACCCTCCTTTTCACTTCTCAACAGGCAGGCTGCTTCTCACAGCTTTCTCGTCTCTGCAAACACTTCCAAAACACTTAAAGCACACCATCAAAATGTAAATACAAAGGTACATAAATGGATGATAATATAAGATAAAGATAAAATAAAGAAATGATAATAAACTCTAAAAATTCTTCCAACAGTTTATCCCTGCAGGCTGCTTTGAGAATCCCAAATGAAGTCCATACTAATTGCGACATCGCAAATGTGGGATGAATCTCTTGTGACACAAATGCATAACCATTAACACGCACACCTACAGACACACACAAGCAGTGACACACAAACGCAAAACCTTTCTGCTGGTGTTTCACACCGAATTTCTGGTGCATTGAAGCGTGGCGTTGTTAGTTTTGCAGTTTGAGTCACCTGGGGCTACACATGTCCTGTTTTGTTAACCACTGTCATGGGCCACAGTGTATAGTCTGTGGCAGGTGATGATGCTCCCTTTGTGTGTGTGTGTGTGTGTGTGTGTGTGTGTGTGTGTGTGTGTGTGTGTGTGTGTGTGTGTGTGTGTGTGTGTGTGTGTGTGTGTGTGTGTGAGACTAAGAAACAGAAAGAGATGAATTCCCCAACACACTGCTCAGGATTCCTGTGTGCCCGTCACCCCCCACACCTAGAAACTGAAAGGTGGGGAACAGAGTCATGCTTCGGTACAGGTGGGTTTTTTTTCTGACTGCCCTGTTTCATGCTGATAGCGCTCAGAGACAAATATCAATATTTGTCATCTCACGAAACAGGAAATGAAAGAGAGCTGCCTTTTTCTGCAGCCCTCGCCAAAACGCTGAAGTCCCACTCATTATGACTGTCTCATCATGCCAGTGACCTTTGATCACCTCCCCAGGTATCGCTCTGAAACATAAGGTACCGTCACTACACTTTTTCACACTGTGTCATCAGAGGTGGGTAGCAGCCAGTTCCATCTCCTCAGATAAATGTACTTATGCAACTTTTTGGAAGCAATATACCTTTAAGAGTAGTTTCAGTGCAATATATATTATTTTGCTTGAGTAAGCAACTATCACTATTGTAATGCCCAGATCACACAGTAATTTTATTTTTTATTTTTTGCCAATTTTAGTACCAATTTCCCTCTTCTGAGAATCTTAAAGACAGCTTATATGGTTCATCATGGCCTGTTGTTAAAGGGGCAATAACGTAAAATCGACTCTTTTGAGCTTCACATCATTTCATGTGAATCCATCATCGAAACCACACCTGGAGTTTTGCTTTGATTCTTACATGTATGTTTGAATAATAATCAAGACGCAGCTCATCACAGAGGCGTCCTTCCCCGTGACCCCTCCCCCCCACACACTCAGCTCCTTCAGACTAGCCAGCACCAATTAGCAAACATCTGGTTGAACATCTGCTGAGGTCATTATAAGATGTATTTCTTTATGCACCGCTGCTAAGAACGTTGTTAAAAGATTGATAGAGGAGCCATGTTGTGATGACTTCCTGTAGGTGGAGTTTAAGAAACAGCAGGAGTTTTTAAAGAGACACAGGTCCAAATTCAAGGCTAACAATTTTTAAGTCTTGCCACTGTGAACCTGGAATTGAGTAAAATTCCTGGGTCCTCTACCCACTCTAGGCTTCTCCCAGGACTGAATTCCATCCATCTTTCCATCATTTTCAGTTTTCTCTTTGACTAGAGAAAAGCTCTCGGATGATGTGTTTCAGTCTCAATTTTCTGCAAACCAACATCTCAAAGGCTCAAAACCACGTAGTATTTTCATTTCACTTCACGACTCTGTGTCACTTGCTGTCAAAGCTCAATAAAACGTGGCGCCGTTTTGGAAAAGTTTGGGGTTCGTGGGTGTCTGCATGGTGCGAATAGCTTTACTTTTTTGCTTTATTTTATTTTTTTAGCAACACGAGGTGGTCTTCAGCACAGAGAGAAGCAGTTGTGGCATCCCGACTTTGTGATCGATTCAAGGATCTTTAGCTCAGGGCCAAATAGAATTAAGAATTGCTTTCGGATAATGACAGTATCGACCGGCGCTCAGCAAAGCGTTTCGAGCTGTGGCAGGTTAATTCCCTTCTATGAAGGTGTACAGTCTGAGTCAGGCTGGATGGTCAGAGTGATTCTCTGCAGAGTGCTGCTGGTGCTCTGGCTCTGTGTACGCTCAGCAGCCACTTTCCCCACTTATGAAAGCACTGCAAAGAGACTTATGACCCGTTCATTGGACGCTTGGCCATTCAGAGGTGAAGAAATTCTGGTTAGGGCTTCACAAAAATAGACGGCACTGATCCACTTCGCGCTCCTGCAGCACTCTGGAGCAGTTCATCCTCTCCCCGTGCGGCTGCACCCAGAGGTCCGGAGGCGGCCCGTGTGCGTGACATGTCATTGGTTACAGGTCACCGGGCCTTCAGTGCATGAAGGTAAACATCGAAATAGAACAGTTACAGGTTAGATAAAGCCTGGAGGGAAACATCTGTTGGAAAGAATCGAGCTCCACGAAGGGCAAAGTCGGTGAAGTCCCATCAACGGCAAAACAAATTCAGGCAAAATGCAAAATAAATGGTGCGAGCGCTTCGCCTCCTCTTCCAGCTGATGCATTTTTTAAGCTCAGTTCTCAGAGCGAGCGCTCCTCTTTTCGTATTCCCTCTGTGAATAAAAGTAACCTACCTTGCTCATTATGTGAGACGTTGAGGTGTTTTGATGTTTTGGAGATGAAAATGCTCTGAGATGAAATATTCATTCTCTTTAGTTGGCTTAATTATGTATGTGTCCACTGTCGGGTTGGAAAAGCCGCCGCTCCGCTGAGGCGTGTTCTCGGCGTGCCTCGTCGCCATTGGCCCAGAACACATTACGTCCTTATTACAGCGAGTTCCTGGCATGCTCTCGTATGCAACCTTATGGAAATATTAAATGAAGGAGCTGCACACCTCAGTGGACACGCTGAATAAGCATGTCCACCGTTTCTGACTCATTCGGGGAACATTGGGCGGATTGTTGTTTGATTCTTTCGTTTTATCGGCCATTGAGACAATGGACGATAAAAACTTGTAATTCTTTTCCAGACTGAAAGATTAAAATCACATGTGGGTAAGTCTTCTCACAGAATAAGTCATTAAAAAATTACGGCAGCAATAGATGTGAACACTTGCATGAGATATATAGTCATGATTCAGCCACGGCATTGGCACCTATCTGTCAGCCAATGAGAGGAGACGTCAGCGTCCTCTTCAGGCGGTGGAGCGACAAGCGGCTTGGGGACGGCTGCGTGTGCTGCATGTTGGGAACGTGTTAGTCTGTGATTTCACATAAGAGCGACGGATTCAATATTTTCGAGTGACAAAGTTAAATTTGGATGAACTCCCTAACCCTGAGAGCTCCGGTGGAGCCAGCTGTACGTCGTCCAAGGAGGCCAGTGGCTCCAAACGAACATGTTGCTACTGTTTGCAAACCAGTGTGATGCGAAAAACGTGTTTCCATTGGAGTTTTGCAACATATACCAATTTTGAGACTGCCAAAAAACCTCCTACATCCAGTGCAAAACCCTTTTGTCAAAAAACAGCCAATCAGAAAATCTCCTCTACTAATCAATAATCTGAGATATCTTAAAGTGAGATATTCAGAGTACTTCAGGAGGTCCAGATTATTTGTGTTGTTAGTCGATCTGCCTCATTTTAGCTCCGTATTATACACATGTGTCTTGCCTGTCAGACTTTTAAAAGCATACCTTGTGACTGTAGCTCATCACCATTCCAACACACTGAAGTCAAATGCTTGTGCTCCTTCCAAAACTGTATAACATGAAAATCAAACACGAATCCGTCTCACTTTCACTTTTCTCCAGATGTCAGGTGACGTTTTGATTTACAAGGTGCTGTCTTTGTCACGTCAGGTTGTGAATGGGAACCTCCGCTGCGCTCTCAGCTCACGACCGTGGAGGTTGAACGCTTTGGCGTGTGAAGACACTCAGGTGACATTTAAACCTGTGTGTGTCTGGAAACGCCTCGGGAAGGAAGCAGTGGTCAGTTCAACACAGCACCCATTTCTTTTGTACCGCCAAAATGTTTCAGATAGTCGAACAAGTTGTTTTGTCTGGCAAAGGCAGCCCAGAGTTTCCAGTTCTATTATTTAATGATAAAACAAAAAAAAAATGTTATCCAAAACCAGCCCATGTGAAGTAGAGCTCCTGAGCCAAAACCACAGTGGACCAAAACGAACACAACGGCCAAAAAAGCATCTTGATAACTTGGAAGACTTTTTGGAAAACTATTCTGTGGGTTAACAAAGCAGACGTGGAACTTTTTACAATGAAAGCAACACATAACATCTGGTATAAGCCTAACTAAGCATCAAGGCTGAAAAAAAAAAACATTACCCTGACAGTCAAACATGGTAATGGTAGCATGATGGTAAGCTTTTTTTTTAGCCATTTTGGGTGGCTTTGGGTGGCTTACTTCAACAAACAACAAATTGCTCTAATCTTTGTTTTTACATAGGAACGGAGCGTCCCAAAAGCTCTTTAGACCCGTCTCTTTAGCGAGAACAACGTTTCTCAATGGGTTCTATCTTTAAAAATATTTACCTCTAAAGCCTCTCTGGTTGCTATGATACTATCAGTCATTTCCTCCGCTGGATTTTCATTTCGAGGCTCCCAAAAACTCACCAGCCACCCTTTCTGAGAACCTCCTGCCGGTTCTTGGAAAGGTGTGGGTGGCCTTGGACCGGTCCTGAACCGGTCGCTCAGACGCCGAGCTGTGAAATTACACGAAGCCACCAGGCTAAGGCCCGAGGCAATCCTCTCTTAATGAAAAAGCGTTTCACAGCGAAGGCTGCTCGCTGCAGCGGAGACAATCTGTTTGACAAGCAGGGCTTAATTCGGAGAGGTTGAGTTAAGGGACACCGTGGTAATTGCTGGTATTTTGGATGTTCGTTTATAGCGCTTCTTCGTTCTCTTTTTTTTTTCCTTCTGTCTTTCGATGCGAAAAGGAAAAACGTTCCGATGTTCTGCGAGCGCATGTGGGAAAGGAGTAGGTGTGTGGCATTCACATTCATCCAGTGAAAACAGCAGTGGGCTCTCGCAGATCGAGACATAAGGACACACAAACATAAACCACCCACGCACCATTTGCTCATACGGCGCTCAAACACCCCGACGGGTTTCACTGTAACAGTGACCTGATAAAGAGATTCGTATCATCAGATCCGCTTTGTACCGAGAAGTCAAACGTCATTCATAGGTAGAGATGCAATGAAGAGTTCTCTGATTGTTTTGGTGAGATGTTGGCTTTCAAAGAAATGGAGATAAAGTTGTTGTTTTTTTTAAGTCAAAACAGAGTAAACATGCTAGAAAAAGGTTTTTGCATAACAGAATTTTTATAAACCTGTCAAAGTATGGCCTTAAAGGGGCGGTGTATGTATTTTCCACATACATGGTGCCATTTCATAGCACAATAGCAACTATGTTGCCTTCAGTTGTTATTAAAAAGGGTGCATATATCAAATATGACTTAAAAGAAATTTGACATTGTGATTTAACGTCTTGAAATTAGGCAACTTTAAAAAGTCCTGGTTTTTCTAAAACTGCCTTCAGGAAGTCGTCACAACATAACCCTGTCCACTGGCTGGAAAATTGGAAAAAATCATTTAAAAAAGAGAACTGAGCTTTAACTAAAACATCCCATGCTGAATACAATAAAAAGTACAATAAGACCAAATAAAAAAGATAATAAAATGTGCAGCCTCCTCATGTCATGTCTGTATAAATTTCAGCCAAACAACTCACAAATTTTTAGATTCATCCCGGAAACATTCCAGAAAAAAAACGTTGAAATCTCCAAGTTGGAAGAGGGGAAAATCTTAGACTTTCTGAATTTT